TTTAAGCAATAATACTTTTGCAATCCGTACATCCAATACAGAGATTTTTCACCGAATGGAAATGTGGTAAAACAGGCTTTAGCATCGCCTTAAAAGAAAGAATAATGTAATAAGAAAGGAGGTGAATAAGTAGGAGAATTATACAATTATAATTATAAATATTTTTTATATTTAATCATTATCGGTTAACGTAAGTCATCATTTTTATTATACATGCTCATATAAGTGTATATATATTATGTATAATGTATAATTAATAACAAAACTAACTCTATAAATATAAATTTATTAAAAGAATATAAATATATTTTGTAAAATAAATAGGACAGTAAAAGTTAGAATAAATTATGATTGTATAGAATAGTAATAATGATCAATAAATCATATAAAAAGTAACAATAAAATTATTAAAATAAAAATTAAAAAATTATCGTAAGAAATATTGATTTATACATAAAGATTTATTTTTATTAAGCTATTAGTGAAAGAATGATATTTCATTGACTTTTATTTAAGGCTCGTTAGAATTTATGCAAAATGCACATGTTCTGTGATACACACTAAATATACATAAAAGCCGTACATTTTAAACAATTAGATATTGTTTCGGCTACGAGTTTGCACAATGTACAATACATCCTCAACACAGCTTTGACATTGCATTACAGAGAACAGTTGGGGAATATTTGTAAATATAAAGGCTTATATGTTAGACCTCTTTCTTTACGTACGATAAACATGAATATATAGTCTATAAAATAATTTTTATTCTGTAATATATTTTTCATAACATAATTTATATAGTACAAAGTAGGACAATTAACGTGTCTGTTTTTTAAAAATTTTATTTGATATTTTTATTAATAATGTATTATGAAACACTTTAATGGTGTTATATCAAATTATAATATCTAATTATACATAAGATAATGTAACAAAAAATATATAGTAATATATAACAAAAACAATGTAACAGTGTCTTTCAAAATGGAGTAGTTTTAGTATTTTTCTTATTTCTTTCTAATAGAAATAGAAAAAAATTATCAAGTTAAGTGTCTTACTTTGTATACATTAAATTTCTATAATAAATAAATGAATATGCATACATATATTTGTACATATGAAATTCTATAATATATAATATATGTATATATGTATCTCTTTCCATAGTGTAACATAATTACTGTTATTTATATTTCAACTTTGTTTATATATATATGTATATATATATATATATAGAAATATGATGATATAACAGATAATTGAATTTTTTTCTCGTAATAGGACATTACATCTTAATCTTCCCTCAAGAAATAAAATGTTTATATGTAACCATGATCACTTATACAAATATGGAATTTTTTCTTTTAACGATCATTTTATATATATAAAATATAATTGTTAAATAATTGTCATGGAATAATTGTCGGTATACTCTCAGTAATAAATTTTGATTATTTTTTATTCGATAATTAATATCACATTATATATTATGCTAATGTTTTGCTGGAATCTATAGACGTGAAAATCGTAAAGAAAGATAAGTGGATCAATAATATTTGAATTTAAAAATGTAAATGATACAAAAGTCTAAAAAATATTTGAATAATCAATATCTATATTTTTTAAAGATTTTAAAGATATTTTTAGATTAGGTTTTCAAGTTATTTAAAGAGTTCAAAAAGCAGAAAAGTTTGAAAGATATCACAGAATTGGACTAAACTTTTTTTTATCTTTCTTTGTGGATTTTTTAAAAAGATTTTATGTTATTTGGAATATTTCTTTTCAATTTTTTTTCCGAATTAAATAAATTTCTACTCAAATTAATTGAATTATTATTCCGATTGATTTCAAAAAAGGAATTGTACAAATATATAATATAAAATTAATTGAATATTTGAAAATTAATTGAATGTTTCGCTATGGAGGGAGCTTACTTATGTATAATATCAATGCTCTTCAACCATTTGCTTGAAGAACACAATATTTATACCTTTAAACGAGTTTACATTTATATCTTGCTATTTATTTGAGAAGACTGCATAATTATGCTCGTAAGTTACGTTCGCAACTGTTATATTTATTTTTATTTATTATTTTTTTTATTATATATATTTCTTTTTTAATTTCACAGCAAAAAAAGTTAAAACTAAATTAAATTTAAAAAATATTTATATTAAATTAAATTAATTCTCAGATTATTTTATAGATAGAACATAAAACAACATTTTATAATAAGGAAATGTTTGCTTGTTTCGCTATTTTCGTCCGATAATTATTCAAAATAGATATGTTACTCCCATTTAATATTTAATACTGATTCTGCTGATTGTCTGAGTTTAAGTTTCATTTGTTCAATGGAAAATCGAAGCCAATTTATATGAAATAATGATAGCCATGATTTTAAACGCACAATGAATCATGATTAAGTATTTGAAGGTGGATGACGTACATGTGATTCTATATAATATTATACATGTACATGTGATTCTATATAATATTATATATAGAATGATAGAACATATAGAATTTTTAAGATTGCTAGTGGATTGAAAATTCGAAGTATGGAAGATTTAAGAGTGAAGAATTTAATGAGTTAAAAAGATTTAAAGACTTATGGAATAGAAGTTTGTAAGAGACTAAAATCCGAAGAGAAAAAGTTGTTGCTACATCTAAGGATTCATAGAATATTAAAAAAATGTAGAAGTTTGTTTTATCTGTCGCACCATATCGTTGATATACACAGGCATTCGTGAAATGAACTCTATCGTAACTATTCTTCGCGTTGTGATTCTATTGATAAAAATAATAATTTAGACTGTCGATATATTTTTATGTTTTGTTCTATCTTCATATATATGTATGCATGTATATATACATATATACGTAATATATGTTATGTATAAACACGTCATTTGACTTTCACCAAATTTTAGAACTTATATCTAAATTAAAATTTTTTTTCAGTTTGTACAATGCGATTCGATATTTTTAAAGTTAGCAATAATCAAGTCATATTTTTACTGCTAATTCATAAAAATGCTAGTCATGCGTCGTTCGCATTCTACAACGTTATTTAATCCTCTCATGCAAAGGAATATGTCATGTTTTATTCAATAATCTAGATATCTCTCATACGTTTTTTAACATTAAAAAAATTTTATAAATCATATTCAAAGAAACTTGCTCATCAGCGACTACTAGTCTCAAATTAGTATATTTCGTATTCTCTCTTGTCTGCTAACATGTTAGTTTGTAAATGCTTTGTTTAAAAGATCTTAAATATTATGTATATTAAGATCTGTATATTCTTTTTAATTGTTGTATGAAGTATATTTGAAGATTAATCTTCAAATAAATTCTAAATGTATGAGAAGATTATTACATCTTGTAACGATATTAAGTAAACATACTTCGATACAACATTATCGATTTATATTAATTTTGATTAAAATGATTCATAGCCAAAACATGAAAGCACGAATTTAATCGAGGGCTTAAGTACAACAAAAATCAATATAAGAATGATGCAAATACATAATTATGTATAAGATCCATTTTAGATATAACTTCATATACAAGTGGACCTTATATTATACATTTTTAATCAATTTTCGTACCAAATTGTTAACTAAAATCGAATTGATAAAGTACGCGCTTGCCTCGATTGAGATCATTTCCGTTTTCCCATTAAATCATATATGTTCGCCGTTGTCGTTAAGGATATAGGTTTTGTTTTCTGATAGGACCGTTGCAATTTGCGCAAATGCCATGCCTAAGCAACTTGCTCGTACTCGGCCTTATTGATATTGCTAGCTAGACAGCATGCCAGGAAGATACCAACTAGTGGGAAAAAAGCTACGCCGATCGCCGTACCGGCCACCAGACCGATGTTGCTATTTATAAGATCCAGTAAGCGATTGTAACATCCCTGTGAAAAGGAATTATAAAAAAACAGTAGAAACTCCCCCCAAAAAACAAAAGAAATAAAAGAATTAAAAAAACTGTTTATTAGATTTGATTCCAATTTCTCATATTAATTTTTCTCTTTTCTATCTTCTACATTCATTTTTTTAAAAATTTCTATTGCGTTTAATATTCCTTTCTTAGTTTTTTTTTACGGATTGTAATTGTTCATTATTATGAGATAGCAATCAAGATTTTAATACGTCTGCTCTGACAGTGAGTTTTATGGGTTACTATTATTGTGTACACCACAGTAGAATTTTCATGAAAAATATATGCATATAATATATAAAATATTGTTCAATAATTAAATAAGACTAATTAAATAATCTTGATAGATAATACGTTTAATTGTATCCTTTGTATTTTATACATATTAAGCTAGTCACGTCATTCAAAAATTTATGTCAGATATTTATTTTTTACAAGCGTTTTTTTTATAAAGTTTCATTAGTTTATCATCAATGATCATTATGGCGCCCATCATAAATGAATACCAAGACAGTGAACATATTAATAATTCTCTATGTTGTATCCTGGTATAAGTAAAATATTTTTCTTTTATTTTCTATCTCTTTTCCTCTCACTCTCACTTTCGCGCGCGCTCTCTCTCTCTCTCTCTCTCTCTCTCTCTCTCTCTCTCTCTCTCTCTCTGTCTTGCAAAAATTTAAATAATTAATAAAAATATATACCTCGATATAAATTTTCTCTACATCCGATGTGTCGCATTTATTCTGTAGCACTTTGCAACAGGATAAGGGAACGTCCTTTGGCGGATCCAAATTGAGCCAATCAACATAACCGCGATTGCCACAGCAATGCAACTGTAATTGATTAATTTTTTCAAACTGTGAGTATGTCACTACATTGACATACTCACAGTTGATTGCATGGTATCGATGTGACTACTCTTGGAATGGTCCTGTCCATAGGCAACCATGCTCTCGTTCAGACCTTGATCAAATCCCTCGTTCAAGCTCGTGCGATAAGCGTAAACCGACGCGCCCGCACCGAGTTCCAGTAAAGCCACGACAGCCAGAAACGCACCGTACTACGCAAATGAAAAGAAAAGAATTATAAAGGTAAATTGATTATTTCAGGGAATCTCTATTTCTAGAGATGATAAATATGCCGATCAGAGGAGACCGCTCCGATGACCTTGATCTTGACATATGTTGTCAAGGTCATGACTTTGAGTGACCTCCAAGAGCCGTCGCTCGACATTTGTTAAAAAGTTACTAACAAAAAAGTTAAGAAATAACGTCTTATTTCTATTTTATACAATATTAAGAACTACTCCGCCCTACCTGTTTAGGCCGGTATTCATAGTCAAAGCTCAAGGCAGCGCTTAAGATCGTCTTAGTCAAGATTGTCTTATTCAATTAAGATCGTCTTGAGAGCGTAACAATTCATAGTCACGAAATAAGACGACCTTCGAGAAGAAATTCTTCTTTAAGTAATTCTTGTTTGATTTAAGGTTGCTTGACGAAGATGATTTTAAGGTTGAACTTATTTGATATTCGGCTGTTTCCGTAATATTTCCGTTGAATTCTCCAATAGAAACACTGCATTTGAGAAGTATAACTTTACGAAATGTGTTATTATATTATCTTACGTATGATTAGGCTGTGATTATGTATTCCGACTTAAAGTGCGTTCCCTGGTGAAAAAATTTCGCTGAAATTATTCCATGTTTGGAACATTTTAGCGAAATTTTGATTAAAAATTTATTGAAATTTCACTGAAAGTTAATTTTTCAGCTGACATACTGAAAAATCGCTAAAATTGAACTAAAATTTCTCTGAACTTCTGTAGAAACTTTTCGGAAACTTTTTTTAAAATTTCTCTGAAATTTTACTCAAATTTTGCTGAAAATGAATTTTTCAACAAAAAGTCTCTGAAATTAAATTGAATTTTTTCTGAAATACTGTTCCAAAACGGGAATTAATTTCAATGAAATTTTCAGAATTGAAAGCGGATTTTATAGAACTGTCTTGTCCGTCTTATCTGTAGTTTAATTTCTTGGAGTACTGCAGGTGCTAATTAATGTTAAGAAGATCTCGTTCACTTCAAATTTTGATAAAAATACACTGAATCAATGTGTTTTCGCGTAAAAATAAAGATTTGACAAGAAAAAAAATGTCACGCTGCTCCGTGAATCGAAATATATTATTAAAGTTGACTACTATTTAGGTTAGAAAATCTGTCACAGCAGTGGTTCATTATTTTTAAAACACAAATTCACTGCTTTAAAAGCAATATAAGAAAATAATTTGTATTTTTAAAGCAGTGAATTTGTGTTTTTAAAATAATGAACCACTGCTGTGACAGATTTTCTAACCTAAATAGTGGTCAATTTTAATAATATATTTCGATTCGCGGAGCAGCGCGACACTTTTTTCTTGTCAAATCTTTATTTTTACGCGAAAACACATTGATTCAGTGTATTTTTATCAAAAACTTTGTCGTTGTCCACATTCCTATAAATTTTGAAAAAAGTTACAAATGTTTTATAATGTATTATTAAATTTGTTAATTAAAATTAATAATATTACCTAATGATTTAAATATAAGTATATCTATCGTGAATCTCGCGTTTCCGACTTTTTGCACATGCTTGTTTTAATATGAAACACAAAATGTTATATAAAAAATCTTCAGATGTTGCATTTATATGTATAGGAAAAATTTACAAAAATTATATTTGTTTATGATCGGTTAAATCCCGATCTCAAAACATTTCCTGTATGAATTAAGTCACAAGTTTGCATTACCAACAACATTTTGGACAGCGAGTCAAGGATTTTTATTTAATTGCTTTATTAAATATACCATTTTTCTCAATACAATCAAATAAGAGTCTGCAGTAAATAAATATCTTAGGTGCGTTCCGTATCGTGCATGATGTGCATGATGCATCCATTGTCCTTGTTCAACGTTTGGTGAGCAACGAGGATAAACGATGCATTATGCGCATCATGCGAGAAACGAAACGCACCCCTTGTCTGCCTACAAAAACTTGCACACGTGATCACGACGCATGATCATATCGATACATTTAAGTATGACAGATTTCCTAACCTCAATAGTTGTTAACTTTAATGTTTAATATCTCAGTTCGCAGGACAGAACGACATTTTTTCATTATCAAATTTTTATTTTTACGCGAAAACGCATCGATTCAGTGTATTTTTATCAAAATGTGAGGTGAACGAGATTCCTTAACATTTACCAATTTTGCTTAAGTCCACCTCGAACACGTCTTGGCCAAGACCGCCTTATTTCGTATATATATATGTCAAATAAGATGTCTTATAATGACTATGAATTCGTAACTAAGAAGATAGTCTTAAGTCTATGCTTATTTTAAACAAGATGTGTTTATGAATCATGTCAAGACCGTTCAAGACGTTTTGAAATAAGATCGTCTTCGATAAACTTTAACTTGAGATTTTACTCAAGTACCATCTTATTTTTCGATTATGAATCTAGAGGACATCTTAAGACCGTACTTAAGGCGGTCTTAAGAATAAGTTCTGACTATGAATACGGCCCGAACATCAAATTTTCCACGCGAAACGAGGTTCATTCCCACCTTCCCTTATGGCTCATGTGCCATTATTGCCACTAGACAAGGGGGAGGTGGGGCGGATCTCGCTTCGCGTGGAAAGTCGTGCATCCCTATAGACAAGAGAAAAGGTGAAGCGATATTCGCTTCGAGTAGAAAATCCAACGCTCCTTAGTAGAGCGGATATGGAGTTTTTAATATCGTAATATTGTATATAACTGAAATAAAACATCATTTCTTGAACTTTTTTGGTTAATAACTTTTTAACGAATAACGAGCAATAGCTAAAACTTGGAGGTCACTCAGGATCATGATATATGTTGACAACATATATTAAGGTCAAAGCCATCTTCCAGCATATTAGCCGTAAATGATTTCAAGTGTTGCAGATTTGCAACTTTACACATATTTACGATATAATTTGTTAATATGCCTATAATAATACTACGAAAACGCAGCGAGTATCTTTTTTCTCCTTATATAAGATCTCTTTCTCCTTAAGGTCTCTTTCCCCTTATATAATGATATCACATCGAATATCGATTTGTAACTTTATCCTGTTGTTCCTAAGGGACCTGAAGCCTACTTTAATTCACGACGGAATTCTATTTATAATCTTATATGACGCATGGGTGTGTACATGCAGTCACACGTGTGTCTATTCCAATATGTATTCTGTATGCTGATTCTTTGTGCGAATCATTAATTGTATTATGAAATCATAATAGATTGCTAAATTTTGAAATAGAATGCCTACCAAATACAGGAGAGCGGGATGACCGCGTGCAGTGCAACAACAGGCGAGGACCGCTGCGACCGCTAACACCGCACCTAAACTTGCAAGTGCTAGTAGAGCAGCTCCGCTGCCCTGCACGCTCATGTTCATGTAATCTCGTAGTTGGATGCGCATCCATATTCCGATGCATAACATTAACACCCCGGACGCCTGAAATATGTACAAAACATCAAGAAACTCTCGTCGAATAATTTATCGCGAAGTAATTCGAATTGTCTAATTGTTTTTGAAAAAATGAAATGGCTCCCGGAAAGAACGTTGCACCCAACATTTCTCAAATTTTACAGAAAAGAAAAAGAACAGCAAATACAAGTAACACGTGCGTTTTTCCATTGAAACATCACTTTTCAGTAAAAACAATATACGTAAATATTACTATAAAAATGTTTGCAACATTTAGTTAGGAATCCCTTCAACTATAAAAAGATAACGCTCTTATTAATAAATAATTACGATAGGGCCATTGGTTCTAATAAAAATTTGTGTCTTTGTCGAGTACAGATATCTAATATAAAATTAAGATAAGTTTTCTCTATATCTCCTTTATTGGAGTATAATACTGTGCACGAATGTATAAATGTTATGTTTGAAGGTGTAATATCTTAGATGCAAAATATCTTCTTATAGCGAATTCGGTCATTTGTTATTATACTAAAATTAACTAAAATAATTATGCATATCAAAAAATGCTACACACGATAAAATTAGCAAAGCGCAAATTAAGTGTAAAAGCATTTAAATATTTTAAACAATTAAATATTCAATAATGATATTGTTGTTATTTAATAAATGGAATATTGTAGAATATGTATCGTTTCACATTGTCATAGTTCATTATATTATGCTACTGCATTCAGATACTTCATATAAAGTAATCTTTTTAATGTACTAATCCACTGTAGGGATGTTCCGATATAATCGATATTTTGAAATATCGTATCATTATCCCTTTTGATATTCGATATTTACAAATGGGAAGACTCCGATTGCACACATGCATGTTGCACACATGCGTCGCTAATTGGCCAATTTAAAAATAAAATATTCTCATTGGTAAAGCAATAAAAAAATTACTATAGGCACCAGCTGATATGAGTGGTATGTGCAATCGGGATTGTAGGTAAACGGAATCCTCCCATCGGATCCGGAACGTAGATATCAATTGATTCGATACAAAGATTATATTTCCAAAATTCAACCACATAAACGTAACAAGGATGCCAATTCGGGGACAGTTTACGACATCGCGATCAATGCTATCATGAATAAAATTAAAAGAAATTTTATGTTTCATATTATCTTTATTAGTTGATAGACTTATATATGTAAAATGACAGATATATGTATTATATAAAATCCACAAATGTATAATTTTTTATTCTCCTCAATCTCTCTTCCATTTGTGTATATATAAATTTACTAAAATATTTATAATTTTATTGATAAATTAGTGAATTTACCTAGTGATTTTTTCTTTAATTTTTCTTTAAAATCGAAAGTTTGTGGTCTCCGCACGTCTCTATATCATAAAACATGCAAAAAAAGTAACGATATTCCCGAATATCGAATCATTTCCAATCAATATATTGTTGTATCAATATTGCGTATTTCGATTCATATTGATACGAAATATCGATAGTCTATATATGCTTCTCCGCACATTCCTAATCCAATGTGTTGCAATGATTGAATACATCACTAGTTTAAAAAATAAAATAATATCGAAGAAATCGAGAAATGTTACAAATTATTTAGTAATCATCGATAGTATTTTTAAACTGACATAAGTAATGGTCACTAATGTTGGAGAAGCGCTAATGGTCGCGTATGTACTCGTATGTTTACGAACGTGCGGCCTGCAGATTAGCCATATAATTAATGCGCTTGAAAATTCTAAACTGATTCAAAGGTTCAAGGTTAAATACAAATGGTAGAAATGTATAGTTTGTCACAACGTCACATAACTCACAAATCAAATATGAAAAAATATGTTTTTATGTAATATATATTTTTATTATATTTTATGAATAATCAAGTAAAAACAGATTCAATTACCTGGTACTATAATGCTAATCAATTGTGCAACAGTTGGGTAGGACCAAGACGTGATAAGAATAGTCCATAATCATGACGCAATGTGTGGGAGTTTTGGAGGTTTCTGCTTACCCAGAAGATGAAATTGAAGAGCATTAGCAGGGTCTTCATGCAGGTCATCGTGGCCATGGTTTCCAGTCGTGCTTTGCTCATACTGGAATGTTTGTCTTTCGTTTATTTGATTGCGACAAAACCCTTTTGATATAGTCGGGATATGGGTTATTACGCACTACCTAAGTCTCACCTGGGCAACGAGTGGCGATCGATTTGCGAGAAGATTTGCGAATACGTGTTGCGTGAATGGCTCCTGCCCCACCCTCAACAATTTCAACCGGTGCATGCGCGCTATCCCGCGAGAATGGTATAGCAATGGAGGGAACTTCCCTTATCTGAACAATCCTATATATACATATATAACGAGACAAGTGTACCGCGGATACCGCATATACAGGGTGTTCCAAAAAGGTCAGGCCACTTGAATATCTTGGGAAATATAAGTTTTATAGAAAAGTGTTTCAGACAAAAGTTGTAGGATTCAACAAGAATCTATTTGTTGATCTTATCTTTGACCTTGGGGTGACATCCCTAAGGTCAGGTCAAAGTCACATCGATTTTAAAAAATGGAATACCCATTTTTGATTCCAGAATCTAATAGCTGGTGTTGAGAGCTTTCCACTGTAAGAAAATACACTGTAAGAAAATATTTTTTCATTAGTACTTTTTGAGTTATGATACTTGAAAGTTACAGTACCGCCGGCATTAGCATATATAGGGTGTCCCATTTTAAATAACGGATAGGAATGTGTCCACCTTCTCGTGGTGGGGGTGTTGTGGCTTACGATCCGCTCGGGCTATATCAGCTCAGGTTCAACCATGTTAAATGCTGGCCGACAGGGAGGTCCAAACTAACGGACACAAACCGAAAAGAACTAGAACCTCACCATGGAGCGGTGAAGGAGCACTTGAAGGTAGCGGTGAAGGTCAAGGTCAAGGTCATATTCGGACGTAAAATCTTCCGCTCTTTCCACT